GCAGACAAGCCTGGGAGGGAGGCGTCCCCAACACACACAACACAGAAAAATGTCTTCAGGTCAAATAAATATTCACTTTCTTATATCCTATGGCAGCAAAAAAAAAAAAAAAAAAAAACCAAGAAAATAATCTACAGATAAAAAACCAAATATGTTTGAAGTGGTTTCGAAGATGTTTGAACTCTTCAGGAAACAGGAACTTTGCCTGTTAGGGAGATTGCTCATTTTCCCCCTTCACAATTTGAAAAGGCTCCCTGAGCAGAAATGCAGGTTTATCTACACTTAAGGAGCAGCGTAAGGGGATTTTGTATATTCTGCTCTTGAACTAAGTGCAGAAAAGCGAAATAGTCCTTCAGAAATCAAAAGTCATGATTTCTGAAACATATATATACATATATATATATATATATATATATATATATATATATACATATAGACACACACATACACACAGATATCTGAATTGAAATACCTGAGTTAGATATCTGAGTTGACATTTCAGCATCAAAGGGTTTTGCCCCCAACAATTGCTCTCCCAGGAGAAACTCAGAAGAAGGAGCACCTATGCCTGTTCACCCCTGCCCCATGGACATCAAAAAGACTCATACAGCAAGGGCAGCCACTCAGTTCTGCATTAGACTTAAGTCTAACTGCAGACACAGAGACCAAAGCATTGTACCTTTGATCTCCCGCTGCAGCCCTAAGTTCCAGATGTAAATTATTAATTCTAGAGTGACTGCACCTCAGAAGTTTGCTTTGCTGCAAGTTCTTCAGGTCCTTCTTTTCATACATCTGAAGAAACAACATTGAGCTGCTCTAAGCAAAGAGATCAATATAAACACACAGCTCATCTTTTGACATTTCCAATCTTTTATACCCTACCAAAGAACCTCAAATACTTATCCACCCCATGTACATTTTCTACATGCACATACAGACGTGCTTAGCTCCTGTCCAAAAATCAGTCAACAACTACAGCATCCCCACTGGCCTCCCTACCAAAGGGAGCACACATTCATTTGCTTGGATTATGTAACAGCAATTGGCTTTCATACAGTAAATAGCAGCAGTCATATCTTCTATAAAACTCTGTATAAACCCATTTCAACCCAGTTAATAAAACGGAAATAAACAAAAAATCACTGTACTTGGCAGGCAATTTAACACATTTAATATTTACTACAATACATCTATTTACTTCAGGTTTTGCTCCAGTGGAACAGCATTTTTAGGGTCAGCATCATATAAGTCTCGCTTGTTGTCTTTCTTTTCCTTCTTTCCCCACCTTCTGCCCTCCAGCAAGCATTATACAGTTTAAAATGTTAATATTATTATAGGTTACAATTTTAAATTCTAAGCGAAGGCTCATGTATAAAAGATATTGGCAAGAATAACTGGCTTTTCCAAAGTAAAGAAATCAGCAATAAAGTGTATTAATCAACGATTATTCAATTCTGTGCTCCAGGCTAGTGGTTCCTGTCAACAGTGGTCCTTCAGAACCAGGTTTTCCTCTTCAGCTTTAATGAACAATATTGAAATAATGCACTGATATGAAATAATGTAGAATAATCAATTGTCTTTGTTTCTGAAGTCTGAGTAATTTCCTTGAGAACCAAATTGAGATAGAACCACCATGCTTACAAATTCTCTTAGAGGAAACAATACAGAGATACTGATCTTTCAGTTAAAAGATGTTTTAACTCTGTCAGAAATGGATACCGAGTATGGAAACACAATACAGACAACAAACACTGGGAAGAAACTGTTAGAATTGCCATTTTATTCTACCCACACACACCATTTTCTTTCAGGTTCCCAACTACAGACTTATATCGAACCTGTAACAATGGGAGTAGTCACACTAATGGAGTTACATGCCTGGCATTTGGAGGACCAAATCTTTAGCTGGCCTACAGCAAGGCACAGCTGAGACAATAAAAACCACAAAAAACCCCTCCCACTGTCAGCTCTGCAAATCTGCTTAATAAAATAAACACCAAGCAGAAAAAGTGCAATTACTGCAAACAGATTTTTGAGAGCTTTGTTTTCCATGCAGCAGCTCTAAACAAACAAATAAATCTCCCCATGCATTTTAAGATCCACAGAAGAACACATTAAAGCCCAAGACCAGAACCCCTGACTAAAAGAGTTGAATTTGCAGATGCAAAGGCTATTTGAACTTCACTTCCCCTGCTTCTTTCCCAGACAGCTTCCTATTCACATTTTTCTGACCTAGCCTTAACTTAAGGCATCTTCAGTGGCCTTGGGTCAAGCCTAAAGGCAGGATACATGTATCTTGAACTCTAGACTGTGCTGTCACATTTAATAACTGACCATTCCCCCGGCTTACTGAGCAACACACACTGGTCTGTTTAAATGAATAAGTAAGCACAAAGAGCAGCTGGCAGCCAGAATGCAAGTAACTTACGCTTTTTAAAAGTAAACCATGTACTGTAGACCAGGAGCAGGTATTTTCCATTTTTGCATTACTAGGACACACATCTCTGAAGACACCCTTTCCTGTCTGAATGTGACTAGAAAGCCTTCCTTGCCTGAGGGTTTAAATGACTGCAGTGGGATGAGTTGGCTTTCTCCCCTTTGCAACAATGGATGAATTTTATGACAAAACTGCAAGAAAAAGCTTTATTAGACTGCAAATTCAGGAGGTACTGTGTGCCATTAATTTTATTTTTCAAGTAGTTTAAAGGACTTCAGGATACATGTGGAGAAAGGTGTTCCATGTATGTAATTCAGAAAATATATACAATTTCCAACTTGGGAAAAAAAAACAAATCAGGAAAACAGGGTCACTAAATTGCCCATGGCCCAGCAGAAGAATTAAAGAACTATATGCATCAGCAGAGAGAAAGAACACAGTAGTACCTAGTGGGTTGTATATAATGCCAATAGGTATGTTCTTTCAATGCCACAGTTCAGTCCCGGTTTCTATATTAGACAAGACTTCAAAACTGGATAAATTTTCCAGATTCCACAAGCTGAATTTAGAAGCTTAAAGACAGATAAATTATTCAGTGATCTTCTGGGAAGCACTGACCATTTCCTAACAGTACAATAATCAAATGAAAAACTCAGAAAAATTCACTTCTTGAACTATTACCGATTTTTAAATATTGCTTGTTTCTCAGAGTCTTTTTTCAGCTTAATTTAGTGGTGCATTTAAAAAATATAACTTGTGACCAAGAAAATATTACCAGTAATTTCATGAACAATTTTAACTATTTAGAGAAGCAGTTAAAATGAGCAGAAGTGACCATACGAATTAATTCTGCTTAAGAATTAATTCCAATTAACTGCTTTCACAGAATTTAAAAAATTGTCTTAATTGCAGTTTTGTGAGAAGGAGAGAAGATTTGAGCATTTTCTATATATTAAATCTATTCTCATCCAATGGAGCAGTGTGTTATCTTGGCCTGCTCCTCTGCTCACACTGATGTAACCTCCTTAATAATTATGCCATGAGCAACATTTTTGTAAGAGACTTAAACCAACAGCTAATAAACTTCTTTCACTATCTAAAAGGAAGAAAACAACCTATTGTGAATGGACATGTGGCTGTAAAAAGATCAATTATCTCTACAAGACAAAGAACCACAAACTCTGGGCTAGAGTAACTAGAACAGCTCAGTCTGTGGAAGCAATTTGCACGACACAATCTGCCCTATAAAATCCACAGCTTTTCATATTGTTATAAGAGCTTGAGTTCAAAGGAGCAGTGAAGGAAAAGAAAGATACCAAAAACCCCAAAATAACCTAGAAAGGAGCACTACTTTCTACCCCCTCAAGAACAAAACACAAATACTGAATTGTAGTACACAAATCAAGCACCAGTTACAAAACAAAACCACTCAGTGCATTCTCTATCCCTTGTGATGCGCTTGGGAGTGGCAGCCTTTTAAAGGGATGCTTGTGCTCTTCCAGTAGACAAATCTTTTCCTATCTGTTTTCCTGTAGCACAGGGCTGAGTATTCCTGCCTGAAGAAGCCAGCTAAGACACACATGACAATTCGGAGAGCAGCTGATTGTTCTCAAAACCTACCACATTCATAAATACACTTCTATTTTTATGAGATGTTTAGTATAAACCAAGAAAAACATAGGTAAATCATAATTAACCTAAGCTTCAGACAACTTCTTTCTTTTTCCTGCCAGGGTACGGTGGAAGTGAATGCGAACAGATTTAGAAGTGCTGGGAATGCCTGTGTAACTCCTCCGCAAATCTGTGAAGCTCAGATGAAATATGGGTCAAGCTACAGAGGAAGCATTTCAGAGACTACCAAAATGTCATCAAATTCATGAGGATTTCAGAGTTCCACCACCACACTGCACTCTATTTAATTACTGGTGGGCAGCTATAACCACTAGCCTGAAAAGCTTTGGTTTCTTCACTGCAGAAGCCATTCTGGTCTCCTTTTAGCAATGAAAGGGAGCATAGCATTTTCATGACAAGCCACATGACATTCAACCACCACGCAATGGAAAATACGCATTCCTGCCTTCCAAACTGTAAATGCCACCAGACGTATTTAGATTTACTAACAATTGACCTGAGCACTGCTGCTGCTGCTGGCAGTGCTCTGCCATAGATTCAGGCTCTCTCCCAACTTGCCTTCACAAGCATTTTCTCATTTTCCCTAAACTGAGCTGTCCGATGCAGCATCCCTATCAGACAGTGTGGCAAATATCCCTTTCGATTTCCAAGCATTCGGTGCTAAAACAGCTGGCACTGCAGCCTGCAGCCACTGCTGTGACTCATCACTTGGTCACCACACAACTTAACTGGGTTCCTACAAATGGGGTACAGGTAGGAGGTCATCAGGGCTTTCAAATATTTCCTACTCCAACCTACATAAAGCAAGAGCAAAAAACATGTATCTTTGCATGTTTGCATACCATTCATTTTTTACTGCGTTTACTTATAATATGTTGTGAATACTTTCTTCTCTCTTTTAATAGAGATGCTACCTGTTGACAGAATAGTGACAGAGTGCATTGTTAAGTGAGGAGCTTTACCCTTCTGGGAGAAGGACAATGTTATTAAAATAAACCGCAGAGCTTGTTAAACACACTCAAAAGAAGGATTTGCAAACAGACTTGGAAACAATTTACTGAGTTAATACTTCACATCGTATCTGTGTACTTTTGATTTCACTTTCTTTTTCACAGTTTAATTCAAACAGTATTTCCACCAGAGCTGTCTTAAATCTCTCTTTTCTCCTTTTTGCTTTTCAAAGTTTGACTCTTCCCAATGGTAATCCTTCCAAAGATAGGTCACCTCAAGTCTCTTATCATCTGTTCAAAATGCCCAGAGACAGCCAAAAAATAAATCTGGTTCCTCCCTCCTCTGTCCCACAGCTGCCGACAGTGTTCCCTTGCAGTGTCAGCATAGGGACTGTTACTACAGAATGCAGTGATACATGCATCATCAGATCCTATGGCCACTCATCAAAATTTACTTCTGCATCTTAACTTCAAGGAGATTTTGGTTCATTTATAGCAAATATTACATCCACAACATGTTGTTATGGAATTTTCATGGCATGCTAAACCCCAAGGAACTGTTGGCTCCATGCTCTGTACTGGATGCATGTGCACACACACACAAACCATTAAAGAAAAAACTGAAAATTTCAGATTTAAGAATTTCTCAACTTGGCTTCCTTTTGCATATGCATTACAACACAATCTTTAATTACCTGATCTACTTCTTGCATGAGACCTTGTTTCATTTAATGCCCAAAAGAAATTTTAACTACCTGATAAATTATTTAAGATCTTGCTTTCCCCTCATTGTTTGAATTGCAATTCCATACCTTAATTCCCACCCACTATTCAAGCCCTTCTCTCTGGACAGATATTAATTTCTCCCCAAATTCTTCTGTGGTACTCATCACTTTAGCATTTGCTAGCTTAGAAAATACTCATTTATTTCCACAGCATATCTGTGAAGGAGAGGTACCATAAATCCCATCTCACAGGCAGAGAACCAGAGTACAGGAAGATTATCATCAAAGGTATGCAAGAATTGAAAGGCTGCAGTCTGAGATGCCTTATGGCTGGATTTTCAGACTACTGAGGCTTATGTAATTTTTGTATTTACAAACCAAACCTCCCTTGGCTACAGCAATTGGTGCCAGACATCTGCAAATTCATGCTCTTGAGTGAGGAAAATGAGGGATGAGCCCTCAGAGGATTCGGTGCAGCCTCTGTCACATCAGAACTGCAGCAGAAGTGATCAGGTCCTTCATTAAGGACTCTTTAATGAGAGGCCAAATTAAGGTCCTAGAGGCACCCTCAGTTTTGCTGTCTTTTAAATGTGTCCTCAGAATGATAATTTCCTGGGTTTCAGAAGGAAATAGAAAACCTTCTGAACAGAATAAGTAGCATTAAGGTGTCTTGGTCATCAGCAGTGTAGTCATCGTGAACCCCTGTACCCAGTCACAGCACAATCCTTTTGCTTTTCTGCTGAAAAACATTAAACAAAATTGCCCAATAATTACTGTATATATGGTGAGTACCATCACATTTGTCTTACAGAAACAATAACTATAGTAAACAGGTGCATTTATACTCATGATGATGACTAATGACAGCTCCTCTCATGCCCTGCTAACAAAACACAGCAATCATTCAATAAATGTTTATGATCTCGTTAGCAGGGGAGTCACATTGTTTTTTCTTTGTTCTGAATCATTTAAAAAAAACGGCATAATCACGGGCAAAGACCCTCTAACTAATTAAAGTTAGAAAGTGGTATGTTTATTCACCGGTGGGTGGCACGGGAGTCACCTCTGAAAGGCGTGACCGCCCCGAACAAGGTTCTTTGCCATCTATTTATTCCCCAAGATGTTACATACAATACATATGCATAATCCCAGCACCTCCCATCCCCATCCCATATTCAAATGAGCCCATTCGTCCTTCACGCATGTGCAGTTCTTCTCTTTAATTGGATCAGTGGTCTCGAAGTGGGTCAGTGGTCTCAAAGGATGAAGTCAGGAGAGTCTTCATCAGGTCTCTGTGACCCTCTGGCACGATCTAAGGCCCCGTGCTTCATGGTTAACAGTTTACTTATTTTACGTTCTTCTGTACATAAATTTATAATAGCAGATAATTATACCAATTAGCTCTAGCTTAAGCATCTAGTAATTATTAACCTACCATTTACCTACCTAACTTACACCTTGGTCATGGAAACTACTTCTACTCTTAGCAAAAATTCTAACTTTTTAAAACCATGATTCAGTTCCACTAATTGTTTCAAGGTTTCCATTGGAACCAAAGGCCGATATTTAAACTGACACCTCAACAGTCGCTTCGACCTCTCACTTTAATCTTAGTTCATAAAACCTGGTATTTCATTCACTTCACAATATCCAAGGAAAAGTAATTACATCACTACATGTTCATGATGTAAAATGACAAAGCCATGATTAAAAACAAGGATTTACACATGATTTCAGGAAGTAGGAAGCCCAGATCTCTCTGAATTTCCTTGTCTGAATGTTAACATCACATATTCTAGACACACTAAAATATAAAGGGTGCTGAATTCTCTAAAACACCAAAGCATAACTTTATATCAGCAGCCACTATAAGAAGAGGAAGACCTAGAACAAGTAAATTTCTTGAGCAGGGACAATCAGGATCTTTAGTTATTCAGTAAAGAATAGGACTGGAAAGTAAATGAATGAAAAGTAGCACAGAAATTGTATGCTCATAAATGCTAGCAGGGAGAAATGTTTCCACTTTATGCAAAGAATTATGTAACTCAGATCTCATTATTTCAGTGCCTTCAAATAAATAAACTGTTTTCTCTCAAGTAACTCCAAAAGTAATGTTTTACTCTCCATGCTCTGTGCTGCCCCAGGAGGCTAAGGGCCACTTCTAGAAGAGCCACAAAGGGTCATTTGAAAAAGAAATCTTATTACTAACAAACTTAAAAATGGCTGTTGCACCACAGTTTTAAGGAGAAAACAAAATTAAACTTTTGTGGCCTGTTTCACAAATAATGAAAAGATTTCACCACAACCAGCACACATCCGCCTGGCAAGAAGAGATGCATGGCCCCAGTCCTGCAGAGAGCCCCACAGCCTCGGGCTTAGATACCACACTAACAGACCACGTGGCTGGTTATCACAGTACTGCAGCACAAGTAACAACACCAATTTATTATATTTTAGTTATATAAACAATATAATGCAGCTAAAGCCACTATTCAAACAGACTAAACATCTATAAACACAAGCCTCATCCCAAGACTTACATGTTTTAACTAATATAAAACAGAAAAGGAGTAAAATAAAATTTTAATATATGCATATTTCTTATGGGCTTAGAAAACCTAAATAATTTCGTGAGAGGCTGAAGAGCTGCTACCAGTCTTCTTTTCATTACCCACCCCTACTAGCTTGCTTGTCTATAAAATGAGAATAATATGTAATTCTTCTCCTCCACTTGGGTTCCACTGGAAAGAACACTTTCACTAGCAACCATGATGAGCAAAATGGTAGATAAATGGGATCATCTCCAAAACACACACACACACACACACACCTCACCAGAAGTCAAGCGAATCTCTACTAGAGGATGGTTGTCACGAAATATCAAACTGCACTAGATG